CGAGGGGCGGGGCATGGAGTGGGACAGACTGGGCCTGAGCATGAGCTTTCCTCCGTCACTGTATCTCCCTAACTGGACTTTCAGTTTCTTTCATTCCAACGGAACTTGATTCTCCTCCTTTTAAATCCATTTCAAAGTCTTTGGTGTCTGAAGACCAGAGCTGCTTTCTGTAATGTTTCAAGCAATTTAAAAGAGGAGAGTGTGTAGGTCACGTATGTTGGAAGCCGAGCTGTTTTTCTCCTACCATGTGGTGGTTGTTTTTCTGTGCCCTGGAGTCCATTCCGACTTATAGCAATCCTATAAAACGGTAAGGTGCCAAATAGGATTTCCTATGCTGTAAGCCCTGGTGGCACAGTAGTTAGGAGCTTGGCTACTAACCAAAAGGTTGGCAGTTTGAACCCACCAGCTGCTCCTTGGAAACTCTATGGGGCAGTTCTACTCTGTCCTATAGGGTCACTATGAGTCAGAATCGATTCAACAGCAACAGGTTGCAGCACCAACACAGACACAGACTTCATTGTAGACCAGGCCATACCCTGCTATGTGACAGTGTTTTGATCAGTAAATCCTAATATTGAACATCTGCAAGTGAACATCTGAGAATAACATCAGTAAATTATGTGCTGCAACATTGTATGTAGTATATATTACTAACAACAAGATGTACAGAAAAACAAAAATCAGACGATCATAAGTGTGGTTCACTGTCACTCGAATATATCGTTTAAATTGAGGACTCCCTGTTTACAAAACCAAAGAGACTGATCCTAACGTAACCACTCTTACAACCCATTTTACTTAGGTTCCTCAAGAATCTGGTAATACTAATTCACAAAATAACATTGGAGACCATCGACCCAGGCAATAGGGGGTCAGGCTTCTCGTTGTCATATTTGTCCTGCACCTTCCTAAATCCTTCCAAAAGGGGGTGAATAAAGCAGATTTGTTTAGGGTCCTTCAATATTGAGGAACAAACATCCAACTTGTGAGTGTGCTGGACTAAGAAAAACTTATTTGAACCCACCAATACTCATTTTTATTCTTCCCATTTCTTAATAACTGCTTAAAGATCTCCACCCTGCTGGGATTGTTGATGAACCCTAGAAGGTTGGTTCTGTCTGGCTCACTCAGATCTGCCAATAATCTGGACACTAGCCTTTGAGAAAGAGAAAGTAATACTGCAACGTGCAGAGCAAGGAGCCAGCAGGAAGTTCCTCAGATTCAAATTCCCGAGCCGTGGGGAGGCAGGGCTTATCTGTGATTTGGGAAAATTCTAGAAGAAATACATAGGGAAGACGTTGCAGGAATTATGGCGACCAGGAAAGAGGAGGTGACATGGTTCTTGTAAGACCTCTTGCTTCCAAATGGGGTCTGGGTGATGATCTTCATTTTGATTCGTTCTACCTGTTGCTTCATCCTCTGCTGAGGTCAACTAATGGTCACAGCTCGTCCTTCTGCACGTGCAGGGTGGGCCAAATCTGGCTTGGGCTGCTTTAAGGCACTAATGGTAACTTACTGGCATTCATAGGGTCAGCTTACAGGATGAATTCCTTTCTCTTCCCTTTTTCTTTCCCCTGGTTTTGCCCATCCTCTTGTGAGTCATTCCAGCCTCCTGTCTTATCTGTTGTTTCAATATTCAGAAGTAGCTCTGAGTCTAAAGGCTGTAGCTCATACTGCATATAATCTAAGCTTGGCGCAGGATCAGGATCTGCACCAGCACATTCCTTTGTAGGGGCCCTGAGGGTAGAGGTTAGGATCAGTCAGAATTCAAGCTTGACCTAGTATCAGGGTTTACCTCAAAAGTTTTGTTTACTTTCATTAAAATTTACCCATTGGTAGGGGCCCTGAGCTTAAAGGCTGTAGCGCAGACCAGCCTGATCCAAGCTTGGCTGAGCATCAGGGTCAAGATCATTGGCAAGACTAAACAGAACTTCTCCAGTCTTTTGAAACTCTCCCATGAAGTAAGAATAATGAAGACTTTGAATCATCCTAACATAGTTATTTGAAGAAATCAAGAATGAGAAAACTCTACTTTTTATGCAGTACATAACGAGGGCCAGTGCTTGATTACCTAGTGGCTCATGGAAGTGTGAAACAAAAAGCACCCCAGGCTAAATTCTGCCTGTGTCTGCTGGGCAGTATTGTCATTAGAAGTTTAGTGTGTGTAAAGAGTTAAAAGAAGAATACCTGCTTTTGGATGCTGTTATGACGTCTAGATTGCAGATGTCGTCTTCCGCAAGTGTCTTAGGCTGGGTTCTCTAGAGAAGCAAAACCAGTAAAGCATATAAATTTATACAGAGAGATTTATATCAAGGAAATAGCTCACGCAATTGTACAGGCTAAAACGTCCCAAGTCCACAGATCAGGGTAGAGGCCTCTCCCAGTTCAAGTAGCTCCAGAAGCTGGTGAACCCAAGGTCAGCAGGACGGAGAGGGGCTCCCACTCACAGGCTGTGAAGGTCAATGAATTCTAAGATCAGCAGACAAGACCACAAGGTTTCTCCTAAATTCACGGAGCTGCAGAGGCTGGCAAACCCAAGGTCAGCAGGTCAGGGAACTGGACTCTTGCTCGCAGGCTGAGAAGTTCAGCGAATACCAAGATCAACAGGTAATCTGCTAGCTCAAGTCCCACAAACCAGAGATGAGACAAGAGGCAGCTGCTGAGTCTGGAACAAGCCAAAAACCTTGGCAAGGTGAGCAGGCAGAAAGTAACTGGCAGAAGGCAGAGAGATGAAACTGAGAGGGAGGTGAGCTGCCACAGGCCCCGCCTCCGCCAGTACCACTCAGCAGATCCCATCATGGGGGTGATCACAACATTATACAACTGCTAAAACACTGAGAATAATGGCCTAGCCAAGCTGACATACAATCTTAACCATCACAGCAAGGAATTCGCCTTTGGCAAAAAGTTGGATACCTTTTATAGCAGTCCCCATCATTCTACCCCAGAACTCTTCCAGGGCCAAAAGTACGATGAAACCACAGTGGATACGTGGAGAGTGGGAGTGATTATATATACACTTGTCAGCAGATGCCTGTCTTTTGATGGATGGAACTTCAGGTAGTGGCAGAAGCAGATGCTGAATGAAAAATATCATGTTCCCTTCTATATGTTCATGGAGTGTGAAAATCTGCTCAAGAAATGTCTCATCCTTACTCCCAGTAAGAGAAGTACTTTGAAGCAAATCATGAAAGCTCCATGGAAAAGAGGGCCATAAAGAGTATGAACTAAAGCCTTACATGGAGCTACTCACTGACTACAAGGACCCTGGCAAACTGAGTCGATGGTGTCCATGGGTTACACATGGAAGAGATCTGGGCCTCACTGATGGACCAGGGCTCAAACTGCTAGCTCCCTATCTCACCTAGAAAAGGAGAAGACCAGCCCTGTGAACAGCAAGGGTTCTCAACCAGCACAGATCAAAGCAACAATGTTCTTATTTTGAGGCTAGCTTCGGCCAGACCTCCATCAGGAATAGAAAATACAACCTAACAGTGAGAGAGTCCAGGACCTCCAGGGCTTCTCTGCCTCAGACTCCCCAGCCCTGCTTTTCCTGCACCAAGAATCCAATTTGGCCCCAGTGCAGCCTACCCAGGCCCCTAGGTTGCACCCCACAAAGAGTATCTATAAAGTACAGCATCTCAGAAGCCCAGAAGTCTAGCATGTCTCTATGGCTTCCTCCTCAGCCCACCACATCTCTGCACTGGTGGAGGGAGCTCCAGGCAGAACCAGTTTTCCCCAGGATGTGTCCAATAGAAACTGCATGCATGCTGGACATGGTAACAGGTGTGTGACCAGCAGAAAATCCCTTATGGTGTGACCTCAACCTCTCCCTCTGGAATGACCCAGGGCCAGCAGTGGGCCACTGGAAGGTTCCTCAAGTTTCTAAGAAGAAATCTGTCTTCAGCTGTGCCAGAAGGAACCTGAATGAACTTGAATGTAAGGACTGATGCTGAAACCTCCAGAGGCCAAGCCGTGTTCCTTAAACTTCACATGAGGATGAGGATCAGCTCCCAGTCCCTGCTGCTGTGCATGACTGGCAAGTGGGGCAAGAGGACTTCGTATAGTGGAGGGCAGAGACATGCAAACTCCCTGTGCTTTCTCTCAATGGGGTTCAACTGAACAAGATACCTGGCACTTCCTTGGCCTTCAACATTATTGCCTCCAAACCAAGCAAGGAACTTAAGCTTTAAAGGCTGCCAGAAGTCACCTGGGAGAATACTGCAGAGGCCAGTCAGCTCTTGCTGCTAACCAGCCACTTTGCCTACACCTGGGCAAAACTGCTGTGACTGGACAGGTGTGTTTCCTCTAAGAAACTTCTTCACTCCCTTCCTTTCTCTGTCTTTTCTACCTTGTCGGTGGGGGGGGGGGAGATGGGTCTGTAGAAATATGCAAAGACAATCCAAATGAGAACAAACAGAAGCTATTTATTCAAAGCTTGCTATAGCAAGGGCGTCAGCCACCGTTGCTTGTATTTGGCAGAGACTCCAAGGCCAGTAGGGGTTGGGAAAGCTTTGTAGTGAAAGAATGGAAAGGCTCCAGGTGTGCTCTGGCCTTCTTACTTCCCCACTCCATGGAGACAGTGGAGACAGATCTATGGGGTTTCCCAGGAGGGCGGCTCAGAGCTGAAACATTCAGTCCAGGGTAGTGGAGTTCCCTATCAGGCCCTCCCCAAGTCGACGTCAGCTTCTACCTTCTCTTCCTCTCTTTCCTTCCAAGCAAACCACCAGAGGTGGCCTTCCCCTAACCTCAGGCTTCTGGACTGGGGACCTGTGCAGCTGTGGACTGGGCAAGGTACAGCCCTGAGCAGGTGGGGCTGGTGGCTGCTCTCGGGCTGCTCAAGCGATGGGGAAGG